AATATCTGACTACTCAGGTTATGTAACACTTTTGAAGGAACTACATTGATTTAATTTTGTCCGACCTAAAACTAGGTGCCATACTTTAAAAATCAAGCAATCCCCAATAGGAATTGTGGATATATCTTTCTAGCTATATGAGAGAGAAGGAAAGGAAACACAAAAAGGCATCTTGCATTGAATTGGATAACACACCAAAATAAAAATAATAATAGGAAACTTTTTTAATACAAAAAAGTGCATAGAGATTATATTAAAGAGCATTTCTTAGTATACTTTTCTATTTTCTTTTGTTAATTTTGTTTAAGAATATGGCATGAATTATTTTACCCCTAAAAAATTACAAACTTTCCCACCCACCATCCCACTTATGTTAATGATGAAGTATTCAATTTCAAAGTACATTGGCGTCATCTTTAGCTCAAACACCATTAACCCACATCAAAAAGCGACCCTTCAGCTACCAAATTGAATTTCTTTTTTTTTTTCTTTCTCATTAACAAATTATTAACTTAGGGCAACTATTTATGCTCTACTTTTTTATTTTTAAATGAGTAAAATCCACTTTCATTGATTATGTCTTTAACTACGCCATTAGTGGGTAATGCAATCGTCATTAATCTCACTTGGTTTTCTAATTTTTATTCTTCGATTATTATGGTCCATACTTAGCAAAATTATATACATATAATGGGAAGGCCGACAAGAACTTTGAAATTAGAATTTCGAAACAGCTAAGAATTGAACATAATCAATTATGGTATGTGGGAATTGGAAATCAATCAATTCAATTTAAAATTTTTGAGGAAGCAAATTGGAAAAGACATTCCTAGGGGTGGATTCTTGGGATTTTAATTGCATTGATTTTCAAGGAAAAGTACATATCAACTTGGAGTTTAAATGTTTATATGATTGTTGGTGGGAAAACAACACCACAGTGTGATGAATTTAATTTTAGAGGTCTTTTCTTTGGTGGACTGAAAAAGAGATATTCAGAGAATCTAATTCAATTAATCATCAAATAAATCAAGCAGGTGAAACCCTAGTTTGAAATTGTTTCTTATTTTCTCAAATTTCTTCTTTAAAAAAATGCCCTTTTTTCTTGCATTTCTTGAAGTTGGTTTTGGTTTTGGTTTGAAACTTTTGCCATCATAACTCGAAATTCAATTTAATATGATCAAGAACCCCACCGGCCATCCCAAAAACATTAAATGCTAATAGTTTTGATTTTGGCTTTAATTTAATGTTTTTTCAAAAAAAAAATAATAATAATAAGTTAACAAGTTTGATGTATAAAAGTTGTAAATTTGAATGAATCTAAAGATCGAGGATATGTAGGTGAAGTTTTAACCTAACGTATAAGTCCAAAAATTGGAAAGTTTGAGCTTTCCATAACTAGTGTTTGAGTTCGTATTGTGAATGAGTACCAAAAACCAAAATTTTATAAAATGTATTTGGCTCTTAAACTTGAGTTTATATGACCTATAGAGATAATACACATATGTTAATTTAAGATAAGTAAATTTTTATGATAAATATGGGTTCGACTTCTTTTTTAACTTTCCGTTGATCGAAACTAAAATTGGTAGGTCAAAATGATTTTAAAACGAAGGATAGCAGAATCATATTTTAGATGGAAATAAAGATTAATAAATCATGTTTGAACATTTAAGGGTAAAAAAAAATTAAGAGATTGGTGGTGTTGTTATGGAAAGATGAAGAAAAAATAAGGAGTGGTCAATGGGCGTGTTGACTAGAGGTTTTGAGTTGAGTAAGAGTTGGCTGTGAGGGAGAAGGATAGATCACCAACGAGGTTTGATTGGACGTGTGAAGAGAAGGTCAACTTCTGGTGTTCAGTTTTTTCTACGCAAAGAAGAGATTTGATTGGAGGGCAAGTCCGAGATGGGTGACTCGTCATTTTCTCAAGGTCACGCCTGGTCTTACCTCAACTCAATGTATAAATCACATCGTTTTGAACATAGTTCGACTAGTTAAGACATATATCATCGATAAAAAATCAAATTTATATAAATTATTACCTTATTTGACATGTTTTTTATTCTACGCGTGGTAATGAGATTGGTGTTTTTTGTTTAGTTAACTAAGTTACTTAACTTTATTAAGATCTAGAGCTCATTGAAAAAAAAAATAAGGGAACAGGGTGGCTTTTCAAGTGAAAAAAAAAATGGTTTGGAAACTAGCGTCAGGTTTAACCAAATTCATAGGGATCAAATATAAATTCGAAAGACCAAATTGAGATTAAATTCAAGCTATTGAACAAAATTGAAACTTTTTAGATTATATGGAGCCAATTAAAATTAAGTCCAAAATATAGAGAAGGGAATATCGATAATGATTTTTTCACTAATTAAATTTGTATTTTGTTTGAAATAATAAGATTGGAATATTTTTGAGAAGTAAGGTTGTTTAGCTTCCTTCATTATAGTATATTATATCTTTAGAATGGAGTCTGGAAAACAAGACAGAACAAGATAATAAAAATGCAGCTAAAAACGAGCATAACTTAGTGATAATTGATATATATCTTCAACTAAGTGGTTATCAATTTGATCTTCCACCCTCATATGTTGTACTAAAAAACGGTAATAAAATGTATCACATATCATATTACAACATATTTTAGATGGATTTATGATATATATTTGCAGATTTTGTCATTCATTTAAATATGGAGATATGAATTGCAAAATTTTCAAATTAAAAATTCACAATTATACCAAACACAAAAATTAAAAAAATAATTAAAAAAAAACGATATGATTAGCCTATGGAGACTTTATTAACCAACTTAAACAACTTCCTTGACTTATGCTCAATCAAAATTTGACTTAGATTTGACATGAGGTGTGATTGACAAGCTAAGCCATTCAATACGACTATTTTCCTCAATGATTTGTGACAACAAATAAAAATATATAAAATTAAAATCCTATATATTCTATCCAATTCAATCTATAATAAACTTATTTAGGTATCTTTAATGGGATCTTTTTCTCTAAATAAATATAATTTTGAGCTATTGTAATAGGTTAAAATATGTATTGAAGCGAATCATTATCAGTTTTAAATTATAAATAATAAATTGTTTCAAATTAAAGTTTAGAGACTAAATTGTTATTAAAATAAAAGTACAAATACCAAATGTGTTTTTTAACTTAATTCTGTTTTATTTATAATAAAGTTACTTATGCTTATATTTTTTTTAACTTCATTTTTCTTCAATAACAACTCTAAATTTTTAGAAAATAAATTTCTAAGTTTTAAAGACACATAACATGACTCGAGGTACTTATCTAAATTTAGTATTCATAGATAGATAAGTAGGTATTCAAGGTACTAATTTTCATGTCAATATGTGTGTAATTCAGTGGAATTTTTATGTTGCAGATTTAATCTTCCATCTAAATATTTGTTGTAGTTTAAATAGTACTACCTATTTACCATTTTTATTCAAAATTGATGATTAAAAATTTCGTTTCGGATACACTGAATTGCTAATTTATTATTATTATTACATTGCATAATAAAAAGGAATACATTTGTGAAAAAGTTTTAACAAGAGCGGGGCAATTTTGTAAAGTGGATTCGTTGAAAGGTTAGTTGTGAAAGAAATTCAGTAAAGAAATAGTACGACCCAGGCCCACGTCCATCGTTAGAACTCGTTAGAAGGTTCTGCTTAAACCTAGGCCCAGGCCCATAAATATACCAACAAAAAGAAAAAGAAAAAGAAAACAGTTAAAAACTATCCATTTATTCCAATAGTTGAGCTTAATTTATGTTTATTTTTGGGTTTCTGCTTAGTGCTATAACAAACCTTATTCCCTTCTAGCTCCCGACCATTGATACGTATATGATTTGTTGGAAATTTATTTTCATAATTGAATTGTTAGGTTGTATCTCATTTATAAAGTTTGTAGTGTTTTTTTTTTATGTTTATTTATTTTAGATGCTGAATGTTTCTGTTATCTTATTGATAGGTTTGTTTGTCTCGTATCTTTTCCGTTTCTTTCAATGCTTCGACCCAAAGCAATAGCTTAATGCTAGTTCTGTGAATAAAGTGGCAATGGCTGCACTCGAACTCACTCAAGAATGGGACGACAATGGTTTGTCGACTAAGTTCATGCTGATTTTGGATGTTGTACATTAGAATCCTTAAGCACTACCATGAATACTATCGTGCTAACTGTTGGGATTGGTGGAGTCAAAACAACGTCGGAACGACCTAGGAAAGAGTCGGGATCGAGCTGGGATGCGTCGCATGATGAAAACAGGGAAGAAGCGAGCGCTGTAGGCCACTCGGGCCGAGGAGGTAGCGTCGCGACACTGTCCAGATGGTGAACATGGGCGAACTTTTTCGTCCGTAGCACCATGGCGCTGTTTCGATATTTATAAATATGCAGCCTCAGGTTTTAGGGTTTTACCAGTTGAAAAAGGGTTATTGTCCAGTCGATTTTGAGCCGTTTTTCAGAGGGTTTCGTGGCAGTTTCAAGGGGGAGGCTCGGGCATTGGCAGAGGCATTAAGGCTCATTTAGATCAACGCATTCGGGCTAATTAGATCTTGATTATTGTGAGTTTTTCATTCCTGTTCCTAAGTATTAATTGTGTAAAATACTTAGAAGCTATGAGGTTTTTGTTGAGACCTCTAGAGGATATTCTGGGAGAATTATTGTATCAAATTTTAAACTATATTTGTGAATTACTCACATCTAAGTGGAAGACTAGATGTAACCTTTAATGATAAACCAATATAATTTGCTGTATCTTATTCTTGTTCTTTAGTTGTGTTGGATATTTTATATGGAATAAGAAATTATTTAGGTCAATCAATTTCCCAACATGATCGACATGTTGTTATCCTCCCTTAAAGCACTTGCAACATATCTAGCTTCCTACCTATAGACGGTTCCTTATTCTCAGATTATGAGATGATATCTTTTTCTTGCAACATACAAATATAGAAAGCAAATAGTGTACTCAACCTAACTAAATTTATAATTTAACGAAGTCTGGACGGTTACGATTCCCGCCAGGGCGAGCTTGGTGCGGTTCCATTCGGATAACGCAGAGTGAGAGGAGGGCCAGAAACCAGCGGCTGAGAACTCCGACTTTTCATTTTCTCTATTTTGCAGCCCCCGTCAATGGCCGCTCTGAGTCTCGGCCTAACGGCCACCAGAATACGTGTTTCCACCAGTTCGATTCCCGCCCGCTCTCGTCCCAACACCATAACCTGCGTCTCATGGGTACCTTATCTTTCTAATGTTCTCTCTTTTTTCTTTTCACAATTTCAGCAATTTTCCTTTTGTTATGGGAAATTTTGTTCGATTCAGGACCCAGAAGGCCTATTCGGACGGCCTCAGACCGGCCACATCGCTCGAATGGAGTTCAAGAGGCGACTGGAGAAGGACGCCGAAGCTCGCGAGGCCTTCGAGCGCCAAGTCCGGGAAGAGAAAGAGCGCCGCAGAGCGCTTCGAGAGGTGTTTCTACCAATTGGGTTTTTCAATTTCATGCTTTTTCTCAATTGGGTTTTGTTTATTTCAAAATTTTAGTGTTCCCTGCTTGCGAGTACCGATTGTGGTTGTTATCTGTTTTCTGAATAGTCTCGTGAAATTCCGGACAATTTGGCCGACCTGGTCGAGTATTTTCTCGATACTGAAGCTCAGGATATTGAATTTGAAATTGCCAGGTTGAGGCCCAGGTTAGTGATTGAAAGACGAATTCTAATTTTTTTTTCTCTTTTTTCCCCAGTTCAGTAAGCTTGAATCTGATCTTGTTATTTGAATTTGAAATGAATTGATGATGCAAATTGACCAATTAATTGTATCAAACTTTCTGATGTGTTTGTGGAATTGAAGCTCTGTTTTCATTTTGACATGCATTATATGGCAGACTGACCGAGGAGTTTTTTTCACACTTGAAATTTGAGCTGGGTCAGCTTAGATTTTCTGTTTCAAAAACTGAGGTTTATTCTTTAACATGTTTTTCTATTTCCTATAATCTAGCGCACAAATAACGAATCAATTCTGAATCTCTGATGGTTGTTTTAGGCTATGGAAGATAGAGAGATAGAGTTGGAAGCACTACAGAAAGCACTTGAAGAAGGAACAGGTTTGTTTGAGACCTTCAATTTTTGTCCTAGAACGATGCCAATATAAAACTTAGTAACTTACATACTTCATTTTCTGTTACAGAAGCCTATGATAAAATGCAAGGTGAACTGGTAAAAGCAAGGCAAAGCTTAACCAAAATTTTAACATCAAAGGATGTAAAAGCTACCGTATGTACTTTGTTTCTCTTTCCATTCTGCTGTTTCTCGAGTTCTGCCTCAGAATAACAGATTCTGCAACCAAAATGCTAATGTCGACGCTTTTTCGTTTGCAGTTGTTAGACATGGTCGAGCGAAACGAGCTCAATAGATCGTTACTGGCCCTTCTCGACGAAAATATAGTGAATGCACAAAGGGGTGACCAGGTAATTCCAAGAACCTTTAAATTCATTTCTTAGTCATTTTGATCTCTGGCTTACAAAACAAAGTGAAGAGAGGAGGGGCATTGCTCCCCTAGTATAATTCAAGATGAGTTTAAAAGTGTTGAGAATTCATATATATGAATTAAATTTACCAATCCGTTAAGTTTTTGGATTAAGTGGTGATTGTTTCACCAAATACGTTTGAATCTTCATTAACAATCTACAGAAGGAAGCTGCTGCTTTCATGGAGAAGATCCGAGGGGCTGTTCTAAAGTACATGACAACTTAGAAGTCCTGAGGTACAGATTTAGAACTCTCCCTGTTTCTTCTCCTCAATCTTTGATTTTGTCGGGGAATAATTCTAAAAATTAGTCTCCAATATTTACTAAAATCATAGAAAAAGTCCATGTTCATTACATGATGTTGTAAATTGTTTGAAATATAAAAATATTTATGCTTTACTGAAGATTTGTGGTATTTTCTACTCTATTTGTGTTTGTGTCAAAGAAGGTGAAGCAACAGTCTTAAGGGTCGTTTGGCCCATGGGTTTGACATCCTAAGCCGAACCCATGTTTGCCCCTAAGGTATCGGTTTCCAAATTTTAACCCATGGGTTGAATAGTATTTATTATTCAACTCCATGGCATAAGGGAGGTGGGCCTTATGCCTCTCATCCTCCCTCTTCAGCAGCTCGGCTTTGGCTTCAACCTCGGCCCTCAGTATATCCACCTCGCTCCGAGCCTTCAGCAGCTCGCCCTTGAGCGTAGTGGCAGCCTCCAAGGCAGCAGAGGAGTTCTCCCTCTCCTTCGCTGCCAAGGCCTCCCTTCCATCCAGCTCGGCCTTGATCATGACTGCTGAATGGATGGAGGCAGTGAACGCCTGCAAGACATAAAAGGCAAGTTCAGGTCAGATCGAGCTATAATACGAGAAAATAAAAGTGTAGGGGTAGATCTTACCTCAACAGCGTGGTCGATGGTCCGTTGCAGCACGGACCCCGGATCACTTACAAACTTGGACGCTCTCCTGAGACAGCGATCCAAGCATGAAGCCGAGATGCGTGACACTTGGTCCTTCACCCCGGAGCTCGACGGTTCCACTCTGAACCGCATCTTCACGTCGGAAGTTCCCCCCATCCGAGCTTCAGGGTCGTCTACGAGGTCGGCGTGGCTTGAAGGCAGGGGGCCACGAGGTCCAACCTCCAAGGAGGAGGTGGTCTTCTTCTTTTTCTTC